AGCCCCTCAGCCCAAAGGGGACAAGGAACTAAGCGTTTTACATACTCAACTATAAATATTATAAACAAAAATCCCTAGAAGAATTTACACAAATATATTTCAATGTCTTACCCGATTTTCTAGCAGTATCAGCCTTTGAACAAACTCTTCATTATTGCAATCGGATGCATCTGTCAATCCTTGTATGGAGAGAGCGATAATTGCCGTAAATAAAACCTCAAGTATCATTGTCCTACTTGACATCTTGAAAGTCAGACACAGATAAAGGCACCTTCTTTGCAAGTTCAAATTTTATGTGACTCGTGCTCTTATCTCGTTAACATGTGCCATATGAATTGTACATAATTTGATAACATGGACTAAATTAACAGTGTTATCCATTACAAAATGACAGTGACACGGTCGTCTTAATACCATGAACATAAAATAATAAAATATATACATGTAAATATAAAATAATGTTAATATAGTTTGAAATGTCATGTAAGTCGCTGAAGTAATTATGTTCATTTCATATCATACAAAAAGTGAAACACATCATGTGTTTAATGTATACTAAAGAAGAAACATTCACAAATATAATCAAATAGAAAACATGGTGTTATTGTATTTTTGTTATATAGAATCAATATTTTTCAACCGAGAGTCTCACAGCAGCGTTACAAAGATATTAGTTGATTTTTTTGGCAATTAGTAAGTCCGTCATAATACTGTATATGAAATGCAGTTTTAAAATTCATTACAAATGATATCAACAAACAATAAATTGTAAATACCTGACTGCAAATACTATAAGATTCGAGATTTAATTAATTTGTCAGGTATATAATATGCATTTAATATGAACAAAAGTTAAACATTGTCAAAATTAAAAAAGTTCAAAGAATCTGACAAATATAAAAAAGAAGAAAGAGAACATTCATACAAATCACAACCAATGATACAAGATTGCTTATCTGCATGACTGCCTTTACACATATACAAATTAATGAAAATTGTTTCTACTCACAACAAAAAAATCAAATAGTGAGTGTATTGAAGTACTGGTTTAATACAAATGCTAATACTAACAAGGATGTGAACAGTGAAACTATTTGACAAAGATCCATAATTACTTTATAAAATACTAATTTGAATGATGTCAAAATACCTATTTCTGATGTTATTATGACGGAGACACTCCAAAAATAGTGAAATTCATCACCAATGATATTCTTATCACAAAAACGTACATGTTTTTAGGTGTCACCTGTTACCAAGATACCTTTCTCAATGGTCAGACAATAATTCACAATTTTAAATTTAGATAAAACTTTTCTTAATTAAAAAACAAGATGTAGTATAACCTAATTTTGTACATGCATTTTGGAGAATTTTCTCTTGTACAAACTTATCATCTAGTTTCAACTGAATATTTCGAGATCGCTTAAAGTTAGATTTTAATTAAGAAATAAATTATTTGGACAAGTTTTGTCTATTATTTTTATGTAATGAATATATGTAATTCCACAACCCCAAACATCAGGGAATGTTCAAGACTATAAAACAATGTTGAACAATTTACAAATAATACATGCATAATCCTCATTGAATGCATCTTTAAACTATTTAAAATGTTATCAAAAGATGGAACCATTCAGTGATATTCATTTAAAATGTTATCAAAAGATGGAATCATTCGTGTTGTTATTCAATGCTCTGATAGTTTTCTTTTCCTCCTCAATCGTATTTTTCTGTTCAAAATTGTATGTTAGAAGATATATCATCAAGTTAAAAATCAGACTCCGTGTCAACCAGCGTCTTTTAAATAAAGACCCTGGTAAGACTTTTGTCAAAGATCATCGACTAGACTAGATTAAAATGTTCTTTATTAACCTGAGTATTTGTTAGGAATCTCCATAACGTCTCACTATAGTGATAAAATAAGCTTACTGTATAAATCTTGCTGATACGTCCTTTTTTATTTATTATAGTTTTCCTATAAATTCTTCTACTAGATAACGTCCTATTATAGTTTATGGACTTTACTCTTCTGAAATGATTTTTGTCATGGTGGTAATGAGTACTTCTATTCACAATCATTACCAAACCATTCATTATTATCAGGACATTTACTTTTAACATAAGTAGCTTTAATGACCTTCGTTAACGTACAATATAACAACCAACAGCATCATCAGAAATAAAATTTGGCAACTTATCAGTTATCGCATTTACACTAAGTCCAGAATAACTCTTTTAAGTAACATATCAGACATTTCACTATTGAAAAGAATTACAATTTATATGTATCTTAAAATACTACAACATATGATATTTCCTTTTTGAATTTAAAACAATACATCTTTAGGATACATAGGATGATTGGTTACTTTTTCTTACAAAAATATTTCATTTATAAGCAACTAAATTTTACTAATTTGGTAAAGATACGCTATAGAACCGATGTGTAAACTAAATAAAGGGTAGTCGAAAAAGTACAAGCTAGAGAAATATCGTATATTGTATGTCTTTCATCACAGGATTTAATCCTTTTTACGCTACAAAGGACTGGTACTGGTAGGGACCTAACACATGTCGGCCAGAGAACGGTTAATTATAACGGTAAACTTCTAATGTTAAAAAATAACGTGTTATGACACGATCAATTAATTTTAAACAGTAAAAACGCTCAGATTTACTGAATGAATGATATTTTTAGTATAATTAATGATAAAGATACACATTACAATGACTTTTTTCATTGTTATAATGTCTTCACAGTCTATTCCCAAAAATATTTCTCATTCTAACACTCACGTGATTTTGTCACTATAGACAAAGAAGGAAAAAAACTGGTGTTAAACTGCCAATAAACACCGGTTAGGGACTACTTGTATATGCGCTGTTATGTTTTCACCCTCGATTGTATAGTTTTCAAAGCATTTTAAAGCAACAATAAAAAGCATTTTTATTTATATTTTCAGTTCGTTTAATTTTTTTCTTTTCATACAATATTGAAATAATATCTCACATACACTAACGCCACATATTAGATCCATATCAGTTAATAAATATTTTGACAAAACGGCGCCAATCCGTAAGCAGCGTAATGACGTCATCCTAAGTAAACAACTCATTCATAAACAAGCTGACGTTATTTCGTACATACAAGAATGATAAATTGGACACTGATGTAAACACAATACGAGGTAAGTTTTTATTGTTGAAAACTTGATAAAATAACGTTTTTTTCTTATTATTTCTTTTGTTTGATAATTTCTATATCTTCGCAACAGTAGGGTGCGAAAATCAAACAGCGTTATACGAAAATCGGCACCGGAAGTTTTTTCCGCTTGAAAAATAACATTAGTGATTATCCTTATTTTATCGTGTTAGAATCGAAATAACATCGGTCGGAGAGGTGTATATCGGCTATTTAACACCGGTTTTGTCGTTTTGATGCGACAAAATTAACCACTCAGGCCTACGGCCTTCGTGGTCAATTCCTACGCATCAAAACTCCAAACCGGTGTTAAATAGCCGATATACACCTCTCAGGCTGATGTTATTTCTTAAATGATACCTATGTTGCTATGATCTTACTGAAACTAAGCACTATTTCGTTTTATTTGACCACTTAATAATACAATAAGAGTTTCATTAACACCAAATCAAACTATGTACTGTAACGCTGCAAACACTACAATATGGCAACTGTACGAGCATGCTTGATAAAACAAACTGTAATATTTTCCTTTCTGTTCAATAATACATCAACACAAGCAAGAGATTTCCGCATGAACGCTATTTCTCTTTTATCAATGCCATGCTGTGTCCCTCTTACTCCTTCTTTTCCTGTTTTTCCCTGATAATTAACGTTTTGTAACATCATATATTTTTCAAACCTCTACCAACCAAATACATACTAATATGTTTTTTCTTAAAAAATTCTTTTAATTGAACATATATTCACTGTACTTTCAAACATACCCATGTACATACATATATACACATTGCCAATTGTTAGCAAATAAATACTTGGTTGAGACCTATATAAGCTTCAGCTTTCTGTTCTGATCCTTTTTCATGCATTTCAAGTGTTAGCAGTTTTATCTGTAAATTGTAAATGTGTATAGTTCTAGTTTGAAATAAACAATGTTTTAACTAAACTATTCCCAAAAAGATAGGCATATACACTCGCTAAAATCTGAAATTGTCTATATAAATTCTCATATAAAGAGGCATAGAATGTAAGAATATATTTTAATAATTGTTTATCCGGAGGACCTTTGTACAATGCTCGTCAATTATGCATTCTTTCACAAATTTCTACATCCACGATGTAATAATGTGTAATAACCAATGGAGTTTTATGCAATTTACAGCCAACATCATACCCTTATATCATATTCATTCATTTAGTCCAATTTTCGTTCAACAAAAAAAAAAAAAAAAAAAAAAAAAAACAACAAAAAACAAAAACACAAAAACAAAGAAAGAAAGAGATCAATAAATAGTAAAATAAAATATTTGCTCACTTTGTAAATTCTAGAGGTTTTTTTCTTCTTGAAACATTATAAAATTTCACTGTTTTTGTTGTTTCATTGCGAAAAGAAACCAAATTAGCTTTTTAATGAGTTTAATACAGGGTTTTCACGTATTTCCTTTTTTATCTATAATTATATCTACATGATCTATGCCCTTTCTTTGTTAAATTGATTATAGTAATAAATATTATCATATCTAAAGTTATGAGTAACACGTTTTAAAGATGATACGTTCCTAGACAATGCCTAAAGTGAGTTTTATTACTCTAATGTGAACTTTGATTACATTCATTTGAACTTCATTGGCGTATGGAAAATAATTAATGAGCCGCGATGCACTATGTTGGTTTTGTCGTGACGCGGCTCATTTATTTGATAAATAAATTATTCAATCGTAACTATATGCTTTTTGATAGCACTTGCGATACCAAACTATATACAGCCGTAACAGGTCACATATAATGACAGACAGATAAGAGAAAGACTCACCTTTATATAAACTAGAGTGATATTTGATCGAAAAATAGTTACTTTAGTCATTGTCGGATTTTCAAGATGTCATTTAGAAAATTTGTGCTGGCGGTGATATTTACCGCAAGTTTCGTTGGATTGGTAGATGCTTCTGAAAACAACTATGAAGAGCTTGTTCAAAGGATGTCAGAGTTAGAGAAAAAGGTGCGGAGCTATGTTAACCTTTGTTTTAGGACGTCTGTAACACAATTCATTGTGGGTTGTTTTAACTTACCTTACCAATAAAACATTTGATTAAGATGAATATAGTCTATTAATTCACAAAACTAAAAAGTTTATAAATGGACTGTTATCATTATTCAATATTTCAAAACTAAGGATTGATGATAAAATAAATGAACAAAGGACAACTCCTAGCACTGATCGCAATGTCTGAAAGTTAAAATAGTTATTTGATAATTTTACAAGTATTAAGAGAATTAAAAATTGCAGGTCTGTTTTATGAAGTTTTTTTTCCTGAAGAGTACAATAACATGAAGCAATAAGCATGTCCACCATTTTCATTTATATATTAATAACCATGATTAAAATAAAAAAAAACAAAAAAAAAAACAAAAAAAAACAAGGGCAATAATTTGTTTTTATTCTTCAACTAATGACAGGTTGATCAAGTACAGATATTGGAATCTCGTGTTTCTGAGTTGACACTTCTACAAACAAGGTCCAATCGCAAACATGAATTGTTAGAGACACGTATCAATGACTTACAGAGGCAAGTTATGAATAATGAAAGAACCATTGAAACACAACAAGCAGAGATTGAACGTTTACAGAATGACAACACAGACACGTTGGATGGAAAAACAGATGACGATGAGGTACGGCAAGACCAACCATTGGAAAAACAAAGCAGCACACGTGCAATCAAGAGATATTCTGGTAATTATTTTGAAAAACTTCGAATAAGTAATTAAACATCAAGCAATTGGAAACATCTGATAAGTGAAAAGTTAATGCCTCATTAGAAAAAAATAGTTTTAAACATTTTATTGGCTTATCAGGGTTTAAATAAAAAAAAATTCAGAGACTAGATACTAATTTAAGACTTTTAAGATATTGTTTAAATACAAGGATCTTAGAACTGACTTAAAACAAACGTTTTCTTGAATAATGGATGTCGTGCTTTTTAGGTGGAAGAATAAGAAGATCTTTTCCGGAGACTCCATTTGCATTTTCTGCTGTTCTTGACCATAATGTTGACCATGCTGGAATTGAACAGACTGTACTATTTAACAAGGTCCTTCTCAATGATGGAAATGCCTACAATAACCGCACTGGTACTTATGCTTTCTTATCAGTAAAATAGCACTGATTATTCGCTTATACATAACTTTTAAAAAAGCTCTTTAAAATCAGTTTCATGACAAAAAACCGACAAATGGATTCTAAAAACCTGTTTTCTTCACAACTATTTTGACCGAAGTAAGAAGGCGTGAAAGTCATTGCTTTTGTCATAGAACCCGGCAAACAATTTAAGGATATTTTCTAGAAAGTAGAAGCAAAATTAAATTCATTTTTTTGCCAAATCGTTTTAAGTTATTGGAAAATGTTTCCTGACGTGATAAGGTAACTTTATCAATATCATTCTTGACAAGAATGCTTTATTATCTAGAGTGGTACATCTTGTGTTCCTACCTTTATTCAAGGCACATGATGATAATAATTACTATTTAATGAAGCTGCGGGAGAACATTATAACCTGCTTATATTAAAGGCCGATAGGTGATTGATTGTTCTTTTCAACTTTTTCAAAAAGTAGAATATATCCTGTATGTGTGAAAATTACACATTCATTTCATGACATTTTAATTTGTTCTGTTTCAGCTACATTTTCTTCTTTTCTTTATAATATTATATTTTCAGGTGTTTTCACAGTACCAAAAGAAGGTGTTTACATGTTTTACCTAGCGTTTGGTGCTGGATATGAGCCCCATAAAGTGTGGATGCATATGATGGAGCTGGGAAAGTTGCCGGTGTAGCCGACACAATAAGCCCCGGTCATGACGCTCAGGGCACAAATTTTGTTGTGCTTCACTTACGTAAGGGAGACTCAGTATGGGTTTCAACGTTTGCAGTAGCTGATGTTAAGATCTATGGTGCGCCTGGTTTTACAACATTTTCCGGAGTTTTGTTGTATGAATATTAAATATCAATATAGAAAAATATGAATAATTAAAACGCTATTTAATATTTTTTATTTATATTTATTTTTACAGCGCAGAAAAATTGTCTTAAATATTTCGGCTGTCACCACTAGATAAACGTATTCAAAGAACAATATGTAAAGAAGTTACATGTTACTAGGACCACCTTTCACTGCAGTGATGTTTTTGTATTCTATTCCCAAAGACAGATACTTGCACCTGCTTCAGTTATGGCCAATGTGAAGACTCAAAAAGTATCTAAATATAGTAAATGCTAATGCTTTTTTCCTTGTGATATTCGTTAACAGCTAGACAATTACGTCCTCTCCTCTTTGACAAATTCTGGAATCGCTGTAAGCGGTTATAATGGTTATTTTGGTCGACTATTGAAACATTTTCGGCCGCACATCTAATACATGTTCTACACAAGTGCCCGCTTATGTCTGAAATAATGCACAGAGAGGTAATTGAGATATTTATCCACCAGTAAAGCTTAAATGTCGCCGAATGATCTCAACTGTGACGGTGCTACGTAAACCCAAACAGAAAGACCTTTATAAAACTATATACAGGTCATGCTAAACAGATAAAACTCGTTGAACAAAAGATACTTCGCTCTGACTTTCAAGATGTCAAGGGAAACATTAGTGCTGAAAGCTGAAATCGCGAATTTATGAATTTGGTATGTTGATAAACGTGAATTCACGAAAATTAAATTGTGAATTCATGAAGATGAAATCGGGAATTCATGAAGTGGAAATGGCCCTACCGGTCTTTCATACATATCGGCTAGCATTTGTTGGTCAACAACTTAATGCTTATTGTTCACTAGATAATTCTACGCATGTTTAAATTTTTTCGGTGAAAAGTATGTTTCAAACACAGAGCATTTCGAACATGTAAAGTAATTGTAAATTATTAGCTTAAGAAAAAGCTTGATTAAAGCATTAATTGCAGATCTTTAATAGAAATGTTCACCACTATAAGAAGCCGTGTCGCGCACATTAGTCAGGTCTCTAAGTAAAAAGTCAAGGTCACACTTAGATGTCATTGAAAAATGCTTATCAAGAGCAAATCATCTACCTGCATAGAGGGATCTCAAAATAACTCGGCACAATTGTTCACTATTGTGAGGCGGACTGTCGCGCGCTTATTCAGGTCCCTGTGACCAAGATCATTCAAGGTCACACATTTCAGTAAAATTTCAGATAAAGATATGAAAATGTGTAGTAGGACCATTTATACATCATTTATGGATGAATTGTAACACATCATCATGACTATTGCTGTGACACATGTAATAAAAAAGGTTAATATATGCAAGGTCAAGGTCACTCAAGATGATGAAATAATCAGATTTTGTCTGCAGCATATCTCCTACATCAATGGAATTTCTTTTATAATATATTTAAAAAAAATCACCGGCATAAAACGTATTAGTGCACGCATCATCCAGGTATCTAGGTCAAGGTCAAGGTACATTCATAGGGGGGTTGTAATATCACTTGGCACAAATGTTGCCATTGTCAGTCGGAGTGTCTCTTAAAGTATGTAGATGTGTATAGGGTGCATTAAGTCATCATTTATTGATGGATTGTTACACAAATGGTAACTATCATGATCACAGGTAATACGCTTGTAATTTAGGTTAATATATTTGCAAGGTCAAGGTCACTAGAGATGACTGAATATCCAGATATTGTCTAGAGCATATTTCACATGTTTGGAGAGATTGCTATCTTACTTTACAGACTTTTTTTATCGCCAAAAGACGTAGTGCCCGGCACATGAACCAGGTCTCTTGGCAAAAGGTCACACTCGAATCTATGTAGATTTTCGCCATATATTATTTCCTTGATTAAAATAGTCCATGTAGATTTGTCACCGTCTCTGATGTGCCATTTTCATAAGAACTTGATAGGTATCTTCGAAGGTATTGGAATCTTAAGAGTAATGATGAATAATAAATTAAATTACAATTGTGACTGCCGCTCGAAATGACAGTATGTTGGATATTAAAAGATATTTAATAACATTTTAGTAACGAAGTAACACTTCTACAACAGGTTCCAATACGCGGATGCATATCTTTTTCAAAGTATTTAAAATATATAGGTTATATTCTCTAAAGTTTTATCACTAATTGTTGAAGCCGGTGCTAGGTGGCGTGAGGGATGTTGCACGTATTCGTTATCCCTCATGTACAGACTCAATCATACCGAGTCTGCAATTCTCTTGTAATTTTGTTGTGATTAATGCTTCCGGGGGATCACTTTGTTTCCAGATTTTTGTACAATATTGTATTGTATCATAGTCTGGGGACCTTTCTGTTGAAAATATGTCAGAGTTAAATCTTATACATATACATGAGAAATGCGTTAACTGGAATGCAGGTATTAGTTATCCGCACTCCATAGCATGCCATTTGATTTGCTCATTATGTCTGGGGTTTACTTATCGTGACGACAGAGAAAAGGATAGGGATAGAAATATCATATTCAGATGCTCGTCCATTGGTTACTCTTTTTCTGGGGTTTCATATTGTGACAACAGAGAACGTGTTTTTATTTTGGCTTATAATACAAAAGAGAAAGAAACATCAATACACTCGACAATCTGATTTATCCCTCGTACAAATCAGATGGCCTCTTGTTTCTATGCTCTTTCTATTACTTGTATAGTATTGTTAAAGGTTATGTATTATATTGCACTGTGTGGCGCCATTACATATCACAACGCCGCTAAATTAGCACATGCCGCTTACTGTCGCATTATAACCGCTAAATTTTACAACTTTTAAACAAATGTCTCAAAATCTTCTGCTGTTAAATATCGCAATACTAACGCTAAATATCGCAATACTAACGTTAAATATCGCAATACTAACGTTAAATATCGCAATACTAACGTTAAATATCGCAATACTAACGCTAAATATCGCAATACTAACGTTAAATATCGCAATACTAACGCTAAATATCGCATGATTTTCTCTTGCAAACAATTTTTTTTTCTAGTTCTATATAATTTAATACAACATTTATATGTTTTGTTCTACAACATTTTATTATTAACATTCACATATAGTTATTTCATGGTTTGTTATCACACAGGATACTAAATACTATCAACATGAATATTTATGGTATCGCATACTTTCCGTCATAGATTAATTCACTTTAAGTGTCTTTTTTGTTTGCATTTAAAATGTAAAAACATTGATTAAAGTAGAGTATGAACCTACGCTGTCAGTCGAAAACGATAACGCTTACATTATTTGGTCGTGTCGTACCATTATGATATAATGATTTGTGCAAGTTATTTAATTATTACATTTTGCATTTTATTTGCAATACAGAAGAATACACATTTATCCGAGTGGCGTAGTGGTTACAGTTCTCATGTTATGAAAATGGTTTTCGAGGTCAAATCTGCAATTGTTCAATTTTTGTTTGTGTATATGTTATTTACTTTTAGAATACGTTTTTATAGTGTGTCACGTAACTTTTTCTTTTTCCTTTATAAATCTGTAATTTATGTAATATTTTGCACACTTTAAAGTAAACTTAAAAAGGTTAAGCATAATTGAATGTTTTTGATTTAAGCAATCATTGAAGATAAAATTAATATTATCGATTTTATTCTATTTGAATCTCTGAATTCCATTCGCTACATTTTTAACAATTTTGGTATTTAAGTCTTTTGGTATATTCAAATATTTTCATTTCTACCATTGTTCATTTATCACCCTAATCACAACTATGTTGTCTTTAACTTAACCTGTTAAAAGCAAATCTGTGTAAATCCAAATGTTCTCATATATTTTGTGTGAAAGAAATTCACGAAGAACTAAAATCCAGTTCGTTGAAAAAAATATCTAAAAACAAAATAAGAGTAAGAAATGCATTTTCCAGGATTCGAACCAAGGTCTCTAGACTCACGAAGCAAACACTCCACCACTGCACTATAACGCTGAACGGGTAACTTAGATGAGTGATTGTTTATGCCTAGGTCACAAATAAAACGGGCGCCGTCCGATTAAACGATTTTTATAAAATCGGCAGATTTTTTGATGTCGTGGACGCCGGGCGATTTTAAATATGATACCGTGCGTGGTCATGAATGAAACAGTCGTCGGGCGATTTTTGCCGAGTATATTTTACAGAAAAAATTGAACGGATCAGGCGGTCGCCGCCCGATGTCCGTACGGCGCCTGTGCGATTTAAAAGTGAATCGGACGGTTGCCGCGCGGGCGCCGGGCGACAATGACTTTACATTTAATGACATCCTAGATAGATCAGCTAGTTGTAATTATGCCAGCAAAGAAGTCATCTGCCAAATCCAAGGGGAAGGTCAAGGAGTTGGTCCGTGTTGTTCACAACGAGTCACCAACGACCAGTATCGAGACCGTAGAAGGCGAAAATCAATCAGACATTCGCATGGACATTGAAGAAAAAATTAATGTTTACTAGTATTCAAAAGAAATTCACAAATATATTTTTGAGGCAATTACAACTTCTTCAAGCTGAAATTACAACAAACACAAGCAGCCCGGTCGCCGGATGACAAAACGATGATCGCCCGGTGCCTGTACATGAATCGTCCGGGTACCGGGCGATAATCGTTTGACTACTTGTCTCTATTCAGGCACCGGGCGGGGCCCGGCCGATGTCCGCCCGGACGCCTTTTAAATCGGACGCTGTTTTAGTAGAACAAAAAATCGCCCGATCAAAAAAACATCGCCCAGTTGCTGCCCGGCGACCGAACGATGTCCGCTCGATGATATTTATACTCAGTGACCCCAAAAATTATCGTCCGGCCGCCGTTAGCTTTTAAGTATTACTTAAAACTCGAAGGCGCCCGCCCGATGAGCAAAATTTTCAGCTGCTGCCGTCCGATAGTCACTGCCGCCGGACGGACGCCGGCCGATATTGCGATTTTTTGGAGAAACAGACGCCGCCCGGCGGCATTTTCTTATTTGTGACCTAGGCTTTAGGCGGTAAAAGATGTAGGCGATAAATAGTATGCTTTTATATAAGAATTATCGACACCCCTATTTGTCAATACTGATGTAAACTGATAATGGAAGGTATAGCGAATTAGAGCTGACATGTAAGGTGCATATAATACTTATCTTTTAAATATACTGCTTTGGGTACTGTTGCAAATTTTTAACTGGACTAGTGTCCATCTACTTGTCCCACACAGCTGTGAGTTTGAACACACCGCTAGGGACTAAGGATTCTTTCTTTTGAGCAGATTATCCAGAAAGCTGATGAAACGTCGGTGGTTCTACTCAGGTTCCCATTCGTGACGAAAAGTCACGAGAGATCTTATTCCACCAGTAAAGCTGGAAAGTTGCTTAATGACCTAACTGTGTCGGTGTGACGTTTTGATGTCCAAAAACTAATTTGAAGTTTTAAAAGCTTTGGAGAAATATAATTTCTTATTTGTATAAAAACCTAATCAGAAATTACTAAATAAACTTTTACTTCATATTGAGTCTTTGAAGCTCCTCATTAGGACATTTAGAGTCTTAATTAAATTTTTAGAGTCCTAATTGACTTTTTAGAGTCCTAATTGATCTTTATTTCTCAACTCTTAATTCTATTCATATATCCTCATTAGTCTTTAAAAGCGCCTTGTCATGAGTTACAAAATTGTTATACGGCTTGTTTCTCTTCATTATGATTAAAAATTCCTAATAAGTTGTAACTGAGAGTATCAAAGTATCAAAGTCCTAATTAGGCTTTTAAAGATCGTTATTGAGACTTTATCTTTTTTTTGTAAGAACATTCAGATTTTACACCGGATGGTTCCTTACCAAAACAGTTTTGCAGATAGAAATGACCACATTCAAGCATCTAGGACATATTGTAAGAAAAGTGACCGTGCGACTTTTTACACGCAGAGGATTTCCCTTCTTTACGAGAAAGGAACTAAGAAACTAAGAATAATCGTCTAGGTGTTCCAATTGATGATATATTAACAAAATAAAGCAGGACTTCAATCATCTTGATTAAATAGGTTTTATTTACAAAATTAAGAACACGGACTACGGAACACTTGGTATTTTAATGACGTAATGGTGATGCGCTGATGACGTAATAGGACGGTGACGTTGATCGTTCAGTGACGTGGAAGCGGGTTTCAACCTCATCCAACGAGTATTAGATCTAGAATAAAGAACAAAAATGACAATTATATCTGTGTCTATATAATACTCCGTTAATATCCCGTAACGCTGGAATGTGAAAACAACGCAGAAAGTGTGCAATAGTAACCATGGTCACGTGCAAAAATATTGCCGACACTAGTAGCACGGAATGTAAACGGACCAAAATAATTGATTATAGGAATGAATTTATTCATACGGCTTCTATGATATTATGTTTTAAAGCAGCACGCCTCCAGATTCATGTTAATTGTCATAAAAAAAATTGGGAATGTATATAAATTAAAATAAATTATTATATGATCTAAATATAGCTGCAATCTCATTGGTCCAAACAGTTGTCAACAGAACTTTTTATAAAATCATATTTACTGGGTGTAGTATCATATTCACTGGCTGAATTGGATTTTCCCAGCCTAAAAATAGATTGAGACTCATATTCAATGATCATACACCGTAGACTGTTAAATACGCGTGTTACTTAAAAAATAATTGTTGCTTTTTGTTCTTTATGACATATTTCTCGATTAAAATATCAATACATTACCATTTTACTTAAAGGCTACACCGCAATGATGAGTATAAACTTGAATTACTTTTGTATGCGCAGCGTTCGCGAAGTCGTTGCACGCCTAACACGTGCGTCTTTTTTCCCGCGCTTCAACGAGGCAAAATTTGTACATGTATATATAAGGTTGTACTTTTTGTGATTTTTTTTATTTCTTAGCCTATTCATATAATAAAACAATTATTGACGAGTGAGCCATTGAATATGATGTGATATTCACCGGCAGAAAGTCATCTGCCGGTGAATATCACATCATATTCAATGGCTCACTAGTCAATAATTGTATAATGATGTGGGTTGAACAAATGAAGTAATTTACATATTGCAATCGGCACTTACAATCCACGAAAATTACCAAAAAGTGGTCAACATGTGCAAAAACGGCCCTTACAGCGTTAGTAAAGCAGTAGAAATATGCAAAATCTGTGTTAAATTACACAAAAAACAACAACATTTATTTCATTAGTTTTAAAATTTGATTTCATGACAACCTTAAGTGCTCATTAATTTCTTAAAATTAAGTTTTATATAGAATATGTGTTTATGTTCTCAAGTGCTCGTTTCAGTCAGCAATAGATTTGCACGATTTTGCGTTACTTTGTCAAGATTCCCTGCATTTTCACATGATTGCGTCACGAACTTTTAGTAAGACGCTTATATGATTAAACAGCGAAAAGGAGCAAGTGAAACGAAAATAATTAAATATTTAATAACTTATTCATTCAGCAATATTAATTGAGTTAATATATATCATTGGCAATGTATTCACAAGATCACTGAAGAACAATTATCGAAATGAATGACAACTGCTAAGAGCACTGACAAACTACGATATCACTGACAACCCATGCTATTACTATTAACACACGATATTACTGACAACACATGACATTACTGACAACCTACGATATTGCTGACAACACATGACATTACTGACAAACCACGATATTACTGACAAACCACGATATTACTGACAAACCACGATATTAATGACAACTCATGATATTACTGACAAACCATGACATTACTGACAAACCACGATATTACTGACAACCCACGATATTACTGACAAACCACGATATTACTGACAAACCACGATATTACTGACAACCCACGATATTAATGACAACTCATGATATTACTGACAAACCACGACATTACTGACAACCCACGATATTACTGACAACCAACGATATTACTGACAACCCACGATATTACTGACAACCCACGATATTACTGACAACCCATGACATTACTGACAACCCACGATATTACTGACAACCCACGATATTACTGACAACCCACGATATTACTGACAACCCACGATATTACTGACAACCCATGACATTACTGACAACCCACGATATTACTGACAAACCACGATATTACTGACAAACCACGATATTTCTGACAACCCACGATATTACTGACAACCCACGATATTACTGACAACCCACGATATTACTGACAACCCACGATATTACTGACAACCCACGATATTACTGACAAACCACGATATTACTGACAAACCACGATATAACAAATAGCCCATGATGTTACTGACATCCCACTATATTATTGGCAACCCACGATATCACTGACAAACTTCTTATCTGATTAACAACAAAGCACATTATTTACAACAAATTACTTATACGTTTACATCATTACTGACATAACGCCTCTCTTGTGTAATTGTAGATGGTTCTATCATGATTCGTTCCCTGATAATAAAATATGTACCTGATTATTTTTATTTTCTGTCGAATACCCTTACCTTCATACTTCCTAGTAATTGTTATTATTCGAGGAATAACAACAAATATTACCACCTCTTGCACCACACCCAATGTCAAACTCCCACCCCCCAGTGCATTCATTGTATAGATAATCCCAAGGGTCGGGAGCAAATGCCTGTCGGCGTTTTCTGACCTCCCTTTCTTGTTCACCTTGATTTCTTTGGCGACGCTTGCCCTTTGCTCTCTTGACCTTTAGTGCCTGAAAGAAATAAAAACATTTTAAGACAACGTATTGGTATATAAGTTAACAATGTGCTTATACCGTCGCTAATTTGGTCTGCACGGCATTTCCGTTTTGTAAAGTTAGTATTTTGCGAAGTTAAAATTAAAATGATTATTATCGTGTTAAAGGCACATTATGCCTTATAAATGCATATTTATCTAAATCTTTAGAAATGTCAGACATGTGTCAAATAATGTTTGAACAATTGAATACGAGCATGTAAGAAGTTTCACAGCTGAAGGGAGAAGCGATGAATGTTATGTAATGTTGTTCAGTTAATGCAGAAATATCATCAATGCTTGGAACGGGCAAAGCACATGGATTACCTGCCCGGTAAATACCGGATTAAGGACGGCGATAAGCTGGTACATTTACCGGAAGTCGAGGTGTAAATAGTCAAAACCGTATGTGCACAGCCATTTTCTTCCATATAATTAAATGAGCCGTGTCATGACAAAACCAACATAATGAGTTTGCGACCAGCATGGAACCAGACCAGCCTGCGCGTCTGCGCAGTCTGATCAGGATCCATGCTGTTCGCTTACAGACCCTATAACAAGTAATGAAACTGATAGCGAACGGCATGGATCCTGATCAGACTGCGCGGACCCATTATGTTGGTTTTGTCATGACACGGCTCAAATATGATTTAATCAATTTCAACATGACACTTATTTCGAAAGCTCGTGGGAGGGGAGGTACCTTGATTTCTTACATAAGTTTCTTTTATTTATTGAAATTCATGCGCGCGTGGAATAACGCCTTTTTAACAACAGGGGATAGGTCAATATACGGCCATTTACAACAACTGTCAAAGCTAATTATATACTATAATTAATTCTCATTAGTATAGCCATAAAAATGTACTCATTATTTTTCTAATTAATGTCATACTTAATGAACTCATTGATGCCATTCCCGTGTTATTTTGATGGATTTTCAGCGTCACTTAATGAATATGCATGTCAACTTTTTTATACCAAGATATAACATTTTAGAATTTAGTCGATGTCCAATTGCAAAGTTGACTGACAAGTTCAATGAGAATGCTTAAAGGCACTCCACTGAGGTTTTTTTTTTCAGACATGACAGACTGGAAAAAAAATTGTCAAAAAATTGTCGAGATTAAAAATATATGCCTCCAGATGAGCCAAAATATTTCAAGAAAACCAAGCTTCAGAAAAATGAACTAAGATCGTAAGAAAAGTAAGAGTATTCTAAATTTAAATAATGATTTGCATGTTGTGTGCGATTTATTACTGATTGTGCAGTACCATATTTTTTATTGCGTGACTAACGCAGTAACTATTTTTGCATATCTTTACATTTATTTGGTAATGCATGTCGATCGAAAAAGCCGTTTGCCTCGTTAATTACTTTCTTTGTTCACTCCACACAATTTTACCTTTAAAAACAATTCGAAATTCTCATGAAAATTACCAAGAATCTGGAGGCATGCTGCTTTAATGTTCTATTTGAGGTAGGTCTAGACCAATTATTCGAGTACAAAATTTCAGATCATTCTTTTTTTTTTGCTTTTTTGTTTTCAGAAAAAGTATTCTAAATTGTAAACCGTTGCAACGCTTTTCACTAAAAATGGGCTAAGAATAGCACAAATATACGATTTTCAATTCATTTCTGAGAATATTCTTAATTATCTTTCGTATATATACATTTTTCCATTTCAAGTCCCCCAGCTGGTCTTTGTAAGAAATTTTATGTTTTATGCTTTAGTACCTCAGTGAAGTTCCAATGAATTACTGTCACTGTTGTAAAAATAAATTTTAAGCAGTAAAATACGCATTTAAAAACTGAACCTATCTCAATATTTAGTTTATTCCAAAAATGGGTATTTTACAATTTCTTTCTCTTAACAAATCTTATAATATTACTTTATTCGCTTATTGACTTGTCTTACAATAATTTGTGACGTAACGATTTGCTCAAGCTAAAGAATTCGGCAAAATACCGTCCTATTTAAATGTATTGCTTGTTACAACAAAGAGAAGTTAAAATAAAAGTGCCATGAATCATTTTTCTCACATAACAGAAAACAGACGGACGAAGGAAAGATGCTTTAATACACGATGTATTATTACCGCTTCCTATGAACTTGTTTAGTTAAACAGAGTCCATATTTTTAGTTTTAGACCCCCCTCCCCCCAAAAAACAACAAAAAAACAACAAAACAACAAAAAAACAACAACAACAACAAGAAAAAAAGAAAAAAAAAAAAAACAAAAGAACACCACGCCCCCCCCCCCCAAAAAAGGCGCATAAACACAACAAATACAAACAGCAACAAAACAATACGTTTCCTGTATTCTTCTTCGACATTCATGACGTATTCTCCGACATAAATTAATAAAATGAGAAGATTTACAGTGTTTGACTTTGTACATGTATGTCAATAAAATCTATGTCAGCCAGAAAAAAATATATATAAATACACGTATAATTATTTAAGTCTTGACACTTACCTTTTTAACTTGTTTTGCCTTAACTGCTTTCACTTTAACTGATTTCACTTTTACCGGTGCTGGGGCAAGAGTTGTTGGTTTGGGCGCTAGAGTTATCGGCCTTGGTGCCGGGGTTGGCGGAGGAGGCGCTCCTAGTGTTGGAACAAACGGCCAGAAAGGCCAAAAGAAAGACTGAGTTACAGGTACAGGTGGTAAAGGTGCACGTGTAGTTGGCCTTGGTGCTGGTGTGGGTGCAGGGGTAGTGGTTTCCGGTGGCGAAGGCGGGTCAGTTGTTCCAAAATCGACCTCCATGCACTCACCACCTTCCTTTTCACAGTTAGTTATTATCTCTAAAATTCAATGAAATCAATAACATTAACCGGGTTTGCGGTAGAAAAAAATAAACTAAGAATTTATAAAGAATAATAATAACAAGAAGAAAGAGATATAAAAGAAGAAGTAAAATTAGGAGTAAAAGAAGGTGAAAAATGAAGGAGTAGAGAAGAAGAAGAAGGAGAAGAAGAAGAGGAAGTAGAAGAAGTAAAAGAAGTAGAAGAAAATGAGAAAAAAAGAAGAAAATAAAGATAAAAAAGATAGGAGAAGAAAAACAGGAAAAAGAAGATGAAAAATAAAAATAAAAACGTAAAGAAGAAGCAGCATTAACGATCAATGCGTCGACGTGATATCCTAATATTTTACATGTCACCACATACATACGGAGACACTTATGTGTTTCTTTCACAATTGATATATAAAAAGCATAAAACAACAGCAGCAGCAGCAACAAAAACAAAAAGTCAAGATTATCTGTTACATGATTATATGGATATGATTTTAAAGGTTGAAAACAATTATTTCTCCCCTTTTAATTGTGTTCAGCTTTAACACAGAAATGGTACGGCAACACTGCGATATGACAGACACTTTAATTAAAGAAAACATGCTAAAGAGCACACCTGCCGATATCAATTAGCATTTGTCACGGTATCTGATGTACAGATTCGTACATTTCATTCGTTATTTTGACAGAATAATGATCATAAACGTATTTATACACCGATTAGCAACAGAAATGACAGATAAAAGAATAAACAATTAAGACTAATTGTCTTTTCACATCTGAGCATAATTTGTTTACCGTTGGATATTGACTTCAAAGTGACATTACCTAACAACAGTGTCACACTTAATGTTGTCTCATCAGATGCGAGAAAATATGTTTCCAAAAACAGAAACATGTTATTTCAATAGGAAGGTCACTAGTTTACAAAGGTATGCAGTCGACTTATAAACTATGTAAAAATGCCTAGAAGGATAATTTAGTTGAATTTCACACGGACTTAGTTAAGGTCATAATTATGGCTACTTAAAAGCGTTATTGGGGGAGGTGGATGGCGGGGGAGAGGATAGCAGACTTAAAATTCACTCCGACTTACCGACAGCTACGGCATTACTTCCTTCCTGGATATAGGAACGACTTAAGATATATGTACTCTCTAATGCTTGTTAAATGTAATAAAATTTGAATATTTTAAAGACCCATTTTGTCCAAGAAATGCTTTTAATTTTATTTTTCAAAATGCTTTTTATTTGTACTTCCATAATGTTAAAAAAATTGCTCATTGGCTAATTATCTGAACCATCTTTTTGCTCTGTTGCTTTTACAGTTACACTGATTGGAAGTCAAGATACTACATGTATACTGTTAACATTTTGTAACCTATCTAACAAAATACTTCACATTAAACCACTATTGAAATGTTATAAAATTTATCTTTGTCCTTCCTAAAAAAATTAAAAATACATTCGTTACGCAGGCATAATGTGCCTTTAAGCTTATACATTTCATAATGTCTATGGTATAAGAACAAACTTCAATGAGCTTTCAATCTAATAAGATTCCTATCCTATGATATCTTTGCTTGTGATAGAGGATATCATATTTCAACTTAAAATCAGCGTTATTCTAAGTATTGAGTTTGCTGAGAAGATAAAACTAAGATCGGATCAAGCAAAACGGTAGGTAGATATTGCAAACCGCTCGCTCTGAAAGAAACAATTTATTTCACAAGCTAGTGCATTTAGTTCAGGTTATGACAGACTTAAATGCATGGTTTGTCATGATGGCCTGAGCATGCAATTATACTAGATTGTAGGGTGGTAGTGGTAGTAGGGCCTTTTTAGGTCTCATGCTAATGCCATAAGAAAATGAACTTGGATAGTTTTTAGGATAAATTTTGTCACTTGTATAAACACTGTTAAAATTGCAACATCATTACGGTATTACGGTTTACTATGGCTTAGATAATTGTAAAAAACGCGGTATTTTCATTAACAATCACTGTAAGTTCATGCAAGGCTTGAAAAATCACCAATTTGAACATTTCTGTCTTTTTTGGAAAATTCACAGTGACAATTTTTTCTATTTTTAGCGTAGGACAGACAGGTGAATGTCATGCACAAACAGAAAGTCAATAAAAATATAAAGCAAACAACAAATAAAATGTCATAAATCCGACAAGCGTGCAACAAAAAATTGCTTGAACCCCACGCCCAAAGGTCAATCGTAAACAAACATATTCATCGTTCCTAAATCAAAGAAACAGGTTAATGCGTAAATCATAATATCTGTATGAATAATTATAGAAAAATATGCTTATTGATACGGTAGACAGTAGCATTAAAACAACAGACAAAAGCATTATTACAGTAGACAATACGTGTTGCAAAAGCATTGATACGGCAGACAGTTCAATAACATTGCTAAGGCAAAGATGTAGACAATAGCATTTGAAACGACAGACAATAGCATTGATACAGTAAACAATAGCATTTATTACAACAGACAAATAGCATTGATACGGCAGACAATAGCGAATACGGCAGATAATAGGATTGATACGTCAGATAATAGCATTGATACTGTAGACAAAAATATTGATAGACAAACAATAGCATTGACACGGCATACAATTGAATTTATATGACAGACAATATGATTGACGTGGTAGACTATAGCATTTATACGTGAGACAAAAGCATTGATAGGGTAGAATATAGCTTAATCAGGCATACTATTCAGTGGTACGACATACAATAGCATTGATTCAGTATACAATAGCATTGATTCAGTATACAATAGCATTGATACGGTATACAATAGCATTGATACGACAAACAAGGTTTGATTCAGTATACAATAGCATAGATTCAGTATACAATAGCATTGATTCAGTATACAATAGCATTGATTCAGTATACAATAGCATTGCTACGGTATACAATAGCATTGATACGGTATACAATAGCATTGATACGGTATACAATACCATTGATACGGTATACAATAGCATTGATACGGTATACAAAAGCATTGATACGGTATACAATAGCATTGATATGGTATACAATAGCATTGATACGGTATACAATAGCATTGATACGGTATACAATACCATTGATACGGTATACAATAGCATTAATACGGCAGACAATAGCTTATCGTAAAATAAATATCATTTTTATTGACTTTCCTTTTCTTATTCTATGTATCGATTTTATATCACTTAAATCATATCTAAACCTGAGCGGTCATTTTTCTTTCATTAACCTTATTGTCAGTTGATTGGACACAACAATAAACACTAGCTTTTAAATAAAGTTTCATCCAGTTTTTATTCATAAAGCGGTCTTAAGCTAACATGTTGCTTGTTTTAATAAATAGGTGGATATTGCGATATTTTGAAGGTTTATTACAATGCAGAATCGAAAAGTAGGCCTACTGCAGCAATGACTTACTGTTTATTTATGTATTGTGACCAGTCTGATTGTGACCTACCAAATGTGTTTAAACAATGTATCACTATTGCACGCCCGGCAAACTGTCGCTCCACCTCAAAATTGTGGTGTACGGTAAAACGAGCGAACGGCATTTCCGAGATAGAGCGGAAGGCCGATTTAAACGCCTAATTGCAAGTATTGTTTATGTTTTTGTCTTGTTATTCATTTAAGTTATATTTTTTCGAAAAACGGAAAATGTAGTTCCGTGTAGGATTGATTTAGGCTTCCAATGATCTAAGCTGTTACAAAAAGAAAATTATATTAAGCCCGGGAGAACTTTTCTCCCTGACGAAGCGAACGACGATTTGTAGAATATTGAACTTCCCAACCATAGAAATGCCATACCCTTCGGATTTCTTGAAAAAGTGTATTAGTAAATTATCAACCCGTAATAAGAACATGTCCTTATTGCAAAATAAATTACTCCTGATGTATTTCTTAAATCGATATTTTTCGAAAGTAGTGGAGCGAAAGGGCAAGAGATGGAGCAAAAGGTTCGATGTTGAGCGCAAGGCGATATTAATTTGACGTATTAGGAGGAGCGTAGTCTATGATTTTTTATATATAAAAGCTATAGAAGTTAAAATAGACATGATCAAGTGTTGAAACCGAGATATATATACCTTTTAAAGACAACTAATAAAGTGTGATATCCTTTCAACGACTATAGCATAATAAATGTAATCGCGAAGGTGTCACCTATGGCTGCCGGTGTTCCCGCCAAAATGTTATTTTTTTCGAAAAGTTAGATATTCAAGGTGCAGAACAGAAACAAAATTATGCAATGCATTGAACACATTAAATTAAATGGGTCACTACTACCGAGTTCAGTTAACAATGACTTTCTGTAATTAATAGCTCTAACGTACATGTTCAGAGCAAACACAAATAAGCCACGTTTTCATGAATTTGTAAGGTGGGTAATCGCTATGAAAATGGTTGACAAAGTGTCAGTCGTTATAAGGATATAACACGTGTTCCAGTTATGTTTCTAATTACTTCCTCCCTTATTTAGCATTGTTGTTTAGTTTATTATTTTCCTCTCAAAGTGTAAATAGAAATTTTTACTTTTATAATCAAACACTGCAGTACAAATCTTGGTTTAAGAAAAAATTATGTTAAAATAAATATCTAAGATTTTGTTTGTTTATCGATGAACAAAACGAACGTAATAAAAAAGGCAGAGCTCAGTCGGTGTATGCACTAAAATTATCAATAATATAATAGACCTAGTTATAGTAGAAATTTCTATTTACACTTTGAGAGGAAAATAAAAAACTAAACAACAATGCTAAATAAGGGAGGAAGTATCTAGAAACATAACTGGAACACGTGTTATATCCTTATAACGACTGACACTTTGTCAACCATTTTCATAGCGATTTCCCACCTTACAAATTCATGAAAACGTTGCTTTTTTGTGTTTGCTCTGAACAGGTACGTTAGAGCTATTAATTACAGAAAGTCATTTTGAACTGAACTCGGTAGTAGTGATTTATTTAATTTAATGAGTTCCATGCATTGCATAATTTTGTTTCTGTTCTGCACCTTGAATATCTAGCTTTTCGAAAATCATAACATTTTGGCGGGAACAACGGCAGCCATAGGTGACACCTTCGCGATTACATTTATTACGCTATAGTCGTTGAAAGGATATCACACTTTATTAGTTGTCTTTAAAAGGTATATATATATATATATCTCGGTTTCAACACTTGATTATGTCTATTTTAACTTCTATAGCTTTTATATATAAAAAATCATAGACTACGCTCCTCCTAATACGTCAAAATAATATCGCCTTGCGCTCAACATCGAACCTTTTGCTCCATTTCTTGCCCTTTCGCTCCACTACTTTCGAAAAATATCGATTTAAAAATTTAAGAAATCCTTCAGGAGTCATTTATGTTGCCCGAACGACAAGTTCTTATTAAGGATTGATATTTTTCTAATACACTTTTTCAAGAAATCCGAAGAGTATGGCATTTCTATGGTTGGGAAGTTCAATATTCTACAAATCGTCGTTCGCTTCGTCAGGGAGAAAAGTTCTTCCGGGCGTAATATAATTTTCTTTTTGTAACAGCTTAGATCATTGGAAGGCTAAATCAATCCTACACGGAACTACATTTTCCGTTTTTCGAAAAAATACAACTTAAATGAACAACAAGACAAAAACATAAACAATACTTACAATTAGGCGTTTAAATCGACCTTCCGTTCTATCTCGGAAACTCGTTTTACCGTACACCACAATTTTGAAGTGGAGCGACAGTTTGCCAGGCGTGTATTGTGTTGAGAATGTGATTGAAATTTGAGTAAATTATTATCATACAATAAGCTTTTGACAACTGAAGATAAAGGAAACCGACGTTAAATCAGCGAGGCATTGTTGTCGTACTTTTGTTGCACTTGTTTTAACTGTAACACTATATAACTGTGTCTCAGTTTAACAAGTGTATGAAAGCGCCCGTTGGAAAATGATAAAATAAATAAAAAATAAAATAAAAAAAAAGAAACATAATTCTTTTCTAAAAATGTTTCAATAAAAAAAAATGATACTGTCCTCTCGAAGTTAAAACCTTGGTATTAAATTTTTAGGATATTATGTTGTATTGCAACACTATGGGAAACTAAAAGTCTTATTATTTAATATATGATCATTATGATGAATTAAACATCTTTTGGTTTTGTACTGGTGAAAAAAAAGAAGAAAAAAAACCGAAAAGGAAAGAAAGAACATGCAAATATATCTCTGCGAGTTTGCTATGTGGAATGTCAGAGCAGCTATAAAATTGGTATATCATATAACTTAGACAGTTATTGAGTTGTTTTTGTCTTGGAAATTTATTAATAATACTACAAACATAAATGTATAATACATATTAAATAACACTTGCAGTCCGTTTTGTACATACCTAAATAAATTGACACCTTCTAACTCTCAGATATATAAAAGATAAAGAATATAATCAAATAAAATTGTCAAGATAGATATTAACTAACACAATTAAAACAATTGTAGAAAGAAAATAAAACAAAATGGAACGATAATTTCCTTTTTCAAATGTGACAGATATTGAATAATTTATTGCATAATATAAAAAAAAATTGAAAGTACTATTTTCTTACTGGTCTCATTCTACATGATAGCACTTTTCACTGTCAGTTACATAAAAAAACTTCAATTCAGTTACAAGTATTAAGTTTATATTACATTTGATCTTTCGTTAGAATATTTAAAATAATAACTTCAGCTATAATGATTGTTATATATGATAATCAGAAAAATCAAGTAATGATATAAAAAAACTGAATAAATAATAAGAAAAAAAAATAAATGAATTAAAAAAAAATGAAACAAACAAAGAAAAACCACTCACCATATGATTTTTATATATGATAACCATAAAAAACAAACAATGTAAAAAAAATCAATAAAAAGCTGAATAAGAAAGTAAGAAAAAAATGAATTATTATTAAAAAAACCCAAACAAAAACAAAGAAAAACCACTCACCATAATAATTTTGTCTGGCTTCCCTGTAAGAACCGGGCGAGAAAGCAAACCCGAATGTGCAATGAGCCCATAGGGAGACAAGAGCTGTACAGGTAATGAGAGCCCTCATTTCGCCTATCTGACTCTATCGTCCCGACCTCTCCTTATGCAATAATAAAACAGCCCGCTTAAAGATGCTTTTATACGGAGGCGGTGCGTGTATGTACGTAAAGATATACTATTCTCCCGCAGTTTTCGTTCACTTGTAGAATAGTAAAATATATGTGATTAGACCAAATAACATTTTTCGCCCTCTTAATTCACTGTTGAAATGACGAATTTAATTAAAATATCTGCATCATATATTTTATCTGCCATTGGAAGAATTAATGTGCTTTTCAATTTGACAGCCGTAGATTAAGTATACCATAATTCTTAAACTAAAGTATGTCCAGGTTTTACTTCACCGTGCTATCAATTCGGTAGAAAGGCAATATAATTATAGATAGAAAAAGACGCGATGAAATGATGATGATGATGATTATAATGATGACGATGATGATGATGAAAAAAGTGGTAATAATGATGATGATGATGTCGACTACGACGAAATGTTGTTGTTGATCATGATGATGATGATGTCGATGATGATATTGATGACAGTGATGATGATGGCGATGATGGTGATAATGATGATGGCGATGGTGATGATAATGATGATGATGAAATAGATGAAAAATAAAAACATACGCAAGTGAACAGTAAAGGTGGTTTTTGTTTGCAAAACATTTTGAATTGTCAGCATATCTGATTATCAATAATGTGGAAAGTTAATTTATTTTGTATAATACACTTAATAGGATAATGGTACAGTCTTAATTTCATGGACGTAAAGATGAGACAGTATAACAAAAAACAATATCAACAACATCATTTTAAAACAACGACACAAATATGTCAACGAAATATTTTTGTATGCACATACCATTTTGTTGACTTCACGGTGGATTGTTTTTGAAAGTGACGAAATTTAACTATTGTTGAACTATGCATATGATGCAATAAAAGTAGAAGTCTGGAGGCAATGGGTGCCTTCTGAGTCGAGTATTTATCAAAACAGAGCAAAAAGAGAACCCTACTTTGGTCAAGAACTTGATCCTCAAGCGACAACAGCAATGCATGCTCCTAAAGCCGATCTTAAGGTTATCAACGTTTTACTATCGTGCGTGATTCAAGTATGTGATTTTTAAAAATATTAAAATATAAAGAGCATTGAAACACGAGTCTACCTGATTTCTACGAGGTAGAGGTAGCGTATGTATACAATTTAACTTTGACACATTTGCAATAGTAAAGCCTCCAAACTGAGATACAATAAATGTTTAAACATACATATACCATTGCATAGCTATACGGACTTGCACTGTAGTAAAGTATTTTCAAAACAAATGCATAGAATAATAAGCTATTATTTAAAATTGTATTACGTCATATCATTACGTCATATTTTTTTAAGTATCCCTTATAGGTATTTCTGTTGTATTTCAAAATAACCATCAACAGTTTTCTCACACGTTTGTTCTCGTATGGAAAAATAAAGTATATTAACATGTTTGTTTCCAGAAGTTGGCTTGTGGCTAACATGCTTTTCCCTTGATGTAATTATTAAGTAGATCAGAATCAGTCGAGTGATACTGATGTTAGTAATAAATCACAATACACGATGAGTTTGTTTATTCAAACTATTTTTGACCTTGTTTGAGCAACAACAAGTATAGGACTACGGCAGTAAGTATATTTTTGTATATTTATTACTCTACGGTTTGGCCATACTGGCTTATAATTGGATATGCAATCACTTTAATTAAAATGGACAATGATAATTCTAAAGACGGGAAGGGGTAAAATCACGCTTGATCGCAAAATTAAACATTTGAATTAGATTATGAATGTATTGACTGCATTTAATAATATATATTTATCAATGAGTATGTGTTTGTAGAAACCTTTTAAACAAGGGGCCGAATAAATCAGTTTTTGGCGATTTGAGGTTTGAGTTTTCAAATTCATTTATGTCGAATAAATTGAAATGTTATTTTCTGTGCTACTAAATGCTTCTAAATCATAGAAATGCAACAAAATGATTGCACTAATTTCATGTAGGTCACTAAACAATTTTCAACAATCAATCAATCAATCAATCAATCAATCAAAATCAATCAACCAAAGTCAATCCATCAATCAATCAAAAACAAACAATCAATCAGATATATGCAACGTATAGATAAATTTTGAAAGAGGCTAACTTTTTAATGAACGAAATTAACAAAATAAACAGAAAGTATATGCATCAATTATAAACTTTCTCTTCGGCGCATATATTGCAAATTTTTACCCTTGTAAGTATGACAAAAATAAATAACGACACACTAAATGATTGTTTACATTCATATTTATAAACATCCATTTCTTCACAATTAATTGTGACATTTTCACTGTTTTTATAGATGTTACCTTTTCCCTCCGAGCAAGTAAATTTTACCAAAAACAGATAAATAATTGTCAACAAATATCAACAGTTTCCTGTCAAAAATAATATGTATATTTGGATAATAAACTTTAATATATTAAAGAGGGCATAGAAATACACAAAAATGCGGATAAATCATAAAAAATATATTGCCTTGGCCTAATTTGGTAACGCTGTTGGTAAGGCATTCCTCATGCAATGCTGGTAATTTGCATTTTTCATTTGTTATGATATATTACAAAAAACACCGTAAATACAAAAAAAAAAAAAAAAAAAAAAAAACAGTAAGTTAAAAGGAAAATGGCAAGTAGCTAAAACAATGATATATATCTATGTCATTCATAACGCTTGAACATCCCAAATATGACGAAGCGATGTACATCCTAAATCAAATATATCTTAATTGAAAGTCTAATTTCATCTCCTAAAAAAAGTGTGGGGTTAATCAATATGGTGTGCCGCGAAGGCAATCGCGAGACACATATAACTCGAATAACAACTCGAAATTACAATGGTGAAAAGTCGAAATAAGGAAACGACAATGGTGAAAACTTGAAATAATTTCGTCCTTTTCTATCCTTTAATGTAGCATGGTTTCGTTATTTCGTATATCATCATCATACTTTCGAAAAGGTAAAAGATCGAAATAACGAGACTGCGATGGTGAAAAGTCAAAATTAGTTGACAAAAAGTCAAAAGTTCGATGGTGAAATGTAAAAACAACGATGATGAAATGTCGAAAGTAGGATGGAGTAAGGTCGAAAAAACGAAACCATAATGGTGAAAAGTCGAAATACGATGATGAAAAGTCAAAGTACAACGGTGAATTGAAATCAAAACATCGGAACCACAAAAGTGACCAACTATGTCGAAAACAGACAATTATATTCAGTTATCATTATCGTGGGTTCGTTATTTTGACTTTTCAATTTTCAGTTTTCGACTGACACAGTAATTCAATGTATCTAATTATGCCTATAATTTTTTTTTTCAAACATCGCAAATATGTATTATAAATATTTGTGCACATTATACGTAATCATTAAAATATATACATTCATTTTTTATTGAAAAAATTGACTAAGATTTTAAAGAGAAGAAATTCTTATTACCTCCCTTTATTTAAATGAAATGTTAAGTTCGACAATATCTTTATAAATAATGCTTTTTAGAATTTACAATATTGATAAATCTTAATTTGAGCATCTTATTTATGATATAAAACAATAAAACTTGTGTTACAGGATCTCTAAGTATCCAAGGTGCAAATGATGATTGGTTAACCTGTCGTGATTAATTCGAAAGAAAATGGTTCCACAGAGAAGTTGCTCCTACGACACAAAATGCTTTTGCTGTTATCTCCACAGGTAGATATATTTTTCCTCCACAGGACGCAGGAAATTCATGGAATGTCAGCATGAATGTCAATGACGAGGTAAATCTACAACGGACTGGCAAGGGTGCCGAATAGACAGAAACATATAGTTAATTACGGCACTCAGTTAAATATATCTCAAACAACAGAACAACAACAAAAATAACAAAAGATGTGCTTTGATCTTTGCAATTGTAACCGCGAGACAAAAAGGCGAAATAAATGACAAAAAGAAAACAAAAACAAAACGGAATGGAAAAAAATGCTCAATCGTGTGATTACATTTACAATTTCTTTGTTGTTATTTTTTTCCTTTTAATTTATATTTAAGTGGCCTAAATGTTCCAATAAAAATTGCGTATCAAAAAACTTTCCTTAACACCCCAGTTACACAGAGCCATCGGTGATTGATCGGTAGTTTTTTTAGCCAAATTATGTAGTGAACCGATGACAACGTACTTAACACCGATATCACCTATTGGTCACCTGTTTTCCACCTATCAACTGCTATTGGGGAAAGATAAGTGTCATCGGTGAAAAATTACCGATTGGGATTTTTAAACATGTTTAAAATTCTCAATCGGTGAAAATATTTTACAAATAACCGACAGCAACCTATATGCAAGCTCTTAATCACCGATATCGCCGATCGGACAAAGATAACCAAATATGAATCACCGGCCATATCTGACGGAAAGTGTTTAACCACTGATGACTAGCTATCAAACACCGATTAATCAGCGTTACGCCCGATTTAGCTCCGATTTACAAACGATGAAAACCGATAGTATTTCAGCATTTGCATCATCGACCCAACCCCGTTTGAGTTTGCTTTCTGTCACCGATGGCCGTTTACACAGAAAACCAGAAAAAAAATCACGCATGACAACCGATCATAACAGCGAGTAAATTCAAACTTAAATGACCGATTTGGGACCGACCGTCTGTGTAACTGGCCCCTAACGTAAAGTGTATAGGTTTCGATTTCACATTTCATTAAAGGCATTGTTCTCAGTGTTGTTTTCCTCTCTGTGTTTTTAAATGTTTATACTATTATTGAGCTCTAAAAGAAAAAGACTATATATATATATATATATATATATATTTGTTAAAACATTTTGAGATTTACTTTTATGCAACTCTATAAATAAGTATGACAATCAGTGACAAGTTTTATGCCTAGCCACTGACCATATATGAGCCGCATCACGACAAAACCAACATAATGGGTTTGCAACCAGCATGGATCCAGACCAGCCTGCGCATCCGTGCAGTCTGATCATGATCCATGCTGTTCGCTTACAAACCATAAAGCAAGTAGAGAAACGGATGCGCAGGCTGGTCTGGATCCATGCAAACCCATTCTG